GCAGCACCCTAGCAGCGTGCCTGTCGCTCCGGCTGTCCCCCTGGCTCCGCACCTTGTGTGCAGCGTGAGAAACACGGGGCAGGTGACTCTTCCGACGCGCTGAAAATACGTTTCCCTGGAAAGAGTCTGGATCAGTTTATTCTTTGTCAGGGCTGCCTACCTTTTACGCTGGCTGTGTCTTAAACCATCGGGCACTTGGAATCAATTATATCCTTGCGATTTAGGCCGAAACTTGTGGGGAAAAGCATGCGATAGCAATCCTGACTGGTTCTCTGTCGTGGACGGTCCATACTTAGGTTTATTCCTCTCTCCGCCTGAATAAGCGTTTCGACTGGGGCCTGTCTCTTCCAAGATGTTTTTGACTTCAGCTGGGGATTTGGGTGCTTACCAGATTTGAAATAAGACACAGACTATTTTTTTTTTTTGCTTCTTACAAATACATGCTTGTATGTGGAGTTTTCAAAATGACACTAGAAATTATAAGAGCAAAATTAATTATATGATGAGAACTGAAAAACAGGCTAGTTTGCTCTGCTCATAAGAGTGTTTTTTCAAATAAGTTATTTATTGTTAAAATCTCGAAAACACTTTTGTCAGTATTCTAGTTTTTCAACTCACTTGGAAAGACACAATTATTTAGAATTTTCTAAGCTGTGCAGCATGTTGGCATTGCTCTAGTGTAATTTTTTTTTTTCAAAAATTTCATGAAAATTTTTCAGTTAATGTCTAAACCTTGTCCCTGCTCTTAAATCTTCACTGTTCAGCTATATAAACACTTCTCTTGATGTAAATGTGATTCTGCCCGGGCAATGCGAGTGCAATTAAATATACATATAAGGACACTTGCAGTCTTAGATCTTAACAAGAACATAACTTGTAGTAACGTTTCACATAAATCACAACAGCCTTATAAAACTTCTGAGAAATTAATAGCGCTGCTAAACTTGCAATTTTCATTTTTATTAATATTTGATTTTTTTAACAATTCACATAATAGTATGTTCTTTTGAATTACATTTATAATTAGTTTCAGAAAGCTAAATGAAATATTGCTGAGCCTAAAAAAGCTGGTGAAGACTAAAGGATGGTTTTGTGAACTTTCTTCTGGAGCATGTGTGGCAAATTGGCGGGGGAAAGGAAGGAAGGTTGTATTTTGTAGCCCCACCCTACGTTTTATTTGTGATGTACATTATCTGAATAAGTAGTGAACAAATCTGTGAAATAAGAATCAAAAATATTATTTTAATAGTATGTTGTCATGATGTCTTTTATTGCCTCTCCAGCTTGTGATGTCAGGAGATTTGGCTGCAAAAACAGAGAGTTCAGCACCAGAACAGAGAGTTCTGGTTCAATAATCAGATATAAATATTAAACAATGTCCCAAAATGCTTTCTGCTGTCCCTGAAGATGTCTGTGGCATCTCAGTAAGGATCAGGAATGAAGCTATAGCACCACGATACAAGTGTTGTCTGAGCCATGTGCAACTTGCTCGTGGGTGTTCCCTAAAGGCCTGGCATTTGGGTGGTGTTTAAATTGTCTTTGCATAAATCTATTTCCAGCCGCTGTGTTTGTGTGTTATAATAAGGCTGTAACCTGTTTCGTTATGCTTTCGATCTTGTAAAAAACATCCTGTGCTGCTTTTGTTTTTGTGTTTGCTAAGGACAGGAATAAGTCATCACGATGCCAGCATTACCACTGGATGAACTCCAGCTTACAGAAAAGGATCCAAAGACAGGGAAGCTGAGGACTTTACCAGCACTGGTGAGCTGTGTGTTTCTTGAAAGCCGAACAAGACCCTCAGCCAATAATTGTTTTATTTTGAGGCTTGGGCAAAACTAGCCCTGCGCCCAGGATATAGTTTCATTAACAGTGACACCATTTAAAATTCACTATTTTCTTCCTGTTTCAGTGCATTCAGATAGTTGTGACTTTTTTTTCTGATGTTATGTCGAGGAAAACTTACTGTGTTCAAAATCTACAGTAAAATGTGTTCTCCAAGAACTCCTTATCCTTTCAAGGAACAGCGCCTGATTAGCAATGTAGACTTTGCTGTAACGGACAGAACGCTTTTCGAGCTTGTGCAAGCTCTGTGTGGAAGTTTAGCTCTGAGCTCTAGCACTGGGATCAGTCTATCCATTTGCTGCAGCCTTTTACCTCCTGCCCTGTGGCTCCAGCTTTGGAACCACAGGGTGAAATCAGAAATCGGTGCCTTGTGCGCTCGTGTCTAACGCGCGGTCTGAGAAGCGTTGGTGTGGCTGCCTGTGATGTTACATAGGAGAATTCAAAATTGTGCACAAAATAAAATCCGCAGTGATCCCTTTTCTCCTAGAAATGAGAAGGGATGGACAGAGCTTTCTCCCTGGCGTGTTGCAGAAGTGGGATCTGCTGTTAATGCCACCTGCTGTGAGGAGGTCCCCTTGGGTGTATGAGTGGGCTGCGGCAGAGCTGGAAGCTGCTGCTGGCTACCCAAAGTGATTCTCTTTCTAAGATGGGAGTATCTGAGCGAACTGTGTTCCCTTCTCTTGGGAAGGACAATAAAATGTTTCTTCTCTGGATACGGTGGTCATGTTTGTTTGACTTTTTGGAATGTTGTTCAAGAACCAGCTTGGAGGAGAACAAGAACGCAGGCAGCATTTCAAAGGCATGACATTAAGCTGTTGCTGTTTGTTTTGGAGGTGTGGGAGGATTGCTTTGCAAAGCTTTCAGTTCATAGAATGCAAGGAGCAACATGTGCTGAATTAGGAAGGTATCTGAAAATATTGCTGAAAAATATGAACAATACAAACCCACTGATCTGCTGCCTTTAAATATCAGAAAAAGGAAAGTTTTCAGGGAGCTGAAAGACAAATGTGAAGTGTTTTAAAGCGCAATTTGTATCAGTTTCCTAAAATTCTGTGGGCAGGGCATTGTAAATGTGGACTCCTGTTGCTTGGTCCATATCTTTTAATACAGTGTTTTTGCTTTCTGCAGCACCCAGAAATAAAAGCAGATCGGTCTTTTGTGCTATACAGACCGCCACCTGTTGTCAGAGACCCTGCCTTAGTGGAAGAATTCTTGGAGCGAGCAAAATTCATTGCAGATGATCTGGACTGGCTTCTGGCTTTGCCTCATGACAAATTTTGGTGCCAGGTAATATTGTTTTGTGGGTACTGAAGAAAAAATACGAGCAGTATAGGTGCTTAGTAAGAGCCGAGAACTTTAAATCATCTTTTTGATAAAGACTCTCATATACCCACTGTGTCATTTGTCAGGCATTTTCATTTTGGTTACTGCTTTTTAGACTGCGAAGAATGTAATATTTCCCTATAGTTTTTTAGTTGTGAATTTCTAGAAGAATTTTCTTGGATTTGATGGACATATGAATCATTTTAGCATCTTTGAATGTTTTGGCTTGCTTTTAAATTTAACTGGGTTGCCTTTGAGTGCAACTCACACGTTATAAGACTGCCACTCGCTCTTACAGTACAAGCTGCCATCTATGAATGTGTGGCATTCCCTTCTCTCCATTTTCTTCTCTTTTGTTGTATAAGGTAATATTTGATGACACACTTCAGAAATGTCTGGATTCCTATCTGTGCTATGCCCCTCGCAAGTTTGATGCATTGCTGGATTCCCATCCAGAAGTGAATGACTTGCAGAAACGTCTTCATCGGAGTGTCTTTCTAACCTTCCTCAGAATGTCCACTCACAAGGAATCCAAGGTAAATATTTCTTTGCCTTGCAGGTGCTCTGGGCTGCATAGCTTAGAAAAATAGACAAGTGGAGAAATTCATCCTGTTTCTTGCTTGCATGTCCTAGATGCATTCTTCTTGCTGTCTATTTTTGTCAGTCTGTTTCTCTGTATGGAGATGATACTTCAGCTCTGAGTGGTTATCTGAAATATGTAATGATTTCTTAGGAAGGGAGATCCAGGCAAACAACTAGATAATAACAGGGTAGCGACGTGCAACATTGTGATACAATAGAGTAAGAGAAAAAAGAGTGAGGTGGCCTTTGTATGGCTGCATGGAACATAAAAGGCTGTTCAAGCCACCAGTAGTCAAGTGTTCACTCCCTCATGCCACCTCCTCTGTGCCATGCGGTGTCGCGCAGCCTGTGCTAACGCTTGTCTCTCCTTGAACTTTCTCCAAGCTTTGGACGCGCGATGAAATTGGTCTAAATTGCTGTTTTCTTGGCATCGTAATTAAAAGACATACTCATCCATAATGGTATGAGTGCAACTCCCATGAGCAGCTATGGAATTTTCGCAAGGCCCTTGGGCTAGATGAGGCGCCTTGTGTTTCAGTAGCTTACTCCCTTGATATCCTTCTTGGTTTATTATGTGCTGTTTAGTGATTGTACTGATTTTTCTTGATTATCAAAATGGTAACATTTAAGACATTCTGAGGTCTTGGAGAGTGGGAGTTAGAGGACTGGGGAGGGAACAGGTGAAAGGAATGCTGGAGTCTGCAGTTGGCATCGCTTCAGCAAAAATACTCGACACTTCTATGGTGCCTTTCATTCCAGGATCTGATTAAATCTTACTACGCCAATGAGGCAGACAAGCATTTGAAACGATTTTATAGTTGAGTAACTTGAAGAGAATGCGTAGTCTGTCACGCAGGCAGTCAGCAGGAGTTCTAGAAAACGAACCTAGACAACCTAAAGCCCTGTCCCTCTGCTTTAGTAGGGAGAACATGCTTACCGTGCATCTACTACCTTTCACCGTGATTAAAAACTTTTGCCATCATAGGCAAATCTGTCTTTTAAAAATCTCTGACACCAGAATCTCATTTTTACCTTGCTTGCTTCTCCGTCTCTGAGATAATGTTTTTTTTTTTTGTCATCTAGAATATTAAAAGGCAATCCTTGAACACTGAGTCATGTGGTCTGGGTGCAGTGTTTTAGCAGTCAAGGTATTAGAGCTGCAGTTCAGAAATCCCGGGTTTTCTTCCTATTTCTTTCACCGATGCAGTCATCTTTGGTGCCATGATTCTACCTTATCAGGCTACCAATAACCTTAGTCTGTGAGTTCATGTGTATTTCTTTGATGTCACTGCCAGTTAAGCTGTTCCTGTTCCAGCTCCAGAGCTGACCCCTTCTTGTGTGAGCCCAGCTGTTTATTTAGCAACGCAGTAAGCCAGATTTGGGAACTGAACCAACTGTGAATAGCCTTTAACTTTTAGGTCGATCAGTTCAATTCAGGGTGCAGCCCAGCTGTGTAAGCAGTGGTGCTAGTCTAACAGGGTGGATGGTGTAGTGGCAATGGCTAGCAGCTGGGAACGTAGGAATAGAGGAGTCTGCTGGAGCTGGCGTAGGGAGAGTTGCTGCCTTGTATGAAACGGCACCCTTAATACAGCTTTGAGAGATGTTTTAATTTAAAAGTCTCATTTTAATGTTGCAGTTCCTGCAGAGTAAGATATGAATTATCCTTTAACTTATTATTAAATACTTTTAAATACTAATTTCATTTAAATTATTAAATGAAATTAAATTATTATTTTTTCTTTGTAGGATCATTTTATCACTCCCTCTGTCTTTGGAGAAATAATTTACAACAACTTCCTGTTTGACATCCCTAAGATTCTGGATCTCTGTGTGCTTTTCGGAAAAGGAAATGGTCCCCTGCTCCAGAAGATGATTGGTTAGTTAAAGCCAAGGGACAGCTTGCTGTGTTTAGACTTTTGCTTACTCGTGAAATGGCAGGCAGTGAGTGGGGTTTTATACTGAGGTTACTGGTCTGAAAACAAACTGCTGAGCAACAACTAGCATCTATAATTTCTAGATAACACTTTTTCTTTTTCTTTTTTTTTAATTTTTGTGAACTTCATTTCTGTCAAGGAATGTACTGTGGCCTGCTGTTTAGCTGTCCTGAGCTGTGTTCACAGGGCTAGGCATGACCCAAGGTTCGGTCGTGCCTCAGCAGTCGTTTCCCATACCCACTAAACGTGCTCTCAGCCACTGTAAGAGGACTGTGAGGGCTCTGTAAAATCCTGGTGGAGAGGAGAAGGGGCAAAGAACTTTGCTGCTGGGTTAGGAGGGAGGAAGGTTAGAAGATGGGGCACAGTCCAACTGCTGATACGAGTGCTCTTGTTCCCAGAGTTGGGAGCTTAGTGAGATCTGCAACGTGAATTAATTACTGGTCCGTGAATTGGGAGAATGTGGACCTTGAATGCAGACATTGATTTATATGGTGCCTTCGAACTGCAACGTACTTCAGAGCGCTGCTCAAGCTGTGCTTATCCCTAGATTCCTCTGCATCTGCATAGACAATTTTAGCAGCAAGTGCCTATTAAGCACCAGCTTGGACAGCCTTGGACATTAGAACCTGCATAATGAAGAGAAGGCATATTGGTTTTAGATTCTGTATTTATCCTGTGCCCTCTTCACAAGGGAACTACCTGTGGTCTTTAACATCCACCTGAGCACAGATGGAAGAGTACCTAACCTTGGATTCAGTGAGCTCTTCTTCCTAAATTCTAACGCAATCTGTCTGCAGGTCATATAATGAAACTTTTTTTCTTTCTTTGGTAGTTATTTTTGTCTCATTTCCAAGTTGACTAACATGAGAAGTACTAGAGATCATGTGACACAGCCTATTTATACAAGATTTTTGCCAAATTTCCAGACTGAGAAAAGCTTAGATAAGCTGTTGAATTTTTGAATGCTGATCCCTTTGTCCTTTTTCAGTAACTTTCACTATAAATTTGCCTGCTAAGCCTCAGGGGTAGGAAGAAGGCATAACCAAGATAGATAGTCTTCTCTTTCAGATGTGAAGTTAATTTATCTGTGTCTTAAAATATTCTGAAGAAGACCTAAGTGTATGAAACCTCATTTGAATTATACATACCCTTTCAAGTGCAACACACTAATGCTGCTCACAAGGGACTGATAATTTGTTTACCTGACTATATGTGTAATGTTGTCACAGTAATGGCACGGGCAATTCTGGTGTGTAATTCACAACTTGATAAACTTTAGGCTTTTCCCAAGGAATAAATTTTTCTGAAACCTGTCTCATAACTCTTACCCGTGCTCTGTCCTTGCTGGGGAACTCTGTTAATTTTCATAGTCTGAACAGTAATTCACAGGAAAATAGTCAGCCTCTCTAATACTTGGCTGGGATTTATGATACACCATTACTCAGTGGGGTATTTTGTAAAGATAATGAAGTCCTAGTAATATAATAGTAGGTATTACTAAAGCCTCATTACCTTTAAGAAATATTCTACAGAACATTTTCTAGTGTATGCTGAACTGTTATCAGTAATTAAAAGTCAACTCCAGTTGTCAAATAAAGGAACTAGGAATGTTTAGTATTTACATTATTCATTGATTCCGCCTCTGAGGCGTGAATCATCTGACGTCTCGTTTGCTCTGCTCTGATGAGCGTATTCTCATTACCAGTCCTCCAGTTGCACTGAATTGTTGATGGGCAAGCTTTATAGGAGGAGGCACTGTGCGTGCGTTGGGCCTAGATTCACTTCTAAATGAATGAAAGTCCTAAAATGTTAGTAACGTTGTCTGCAGACAGGGGTTGTTGGTAGTACAAGTACATCTTCTGGTGCAAATTTGTCTGTTAATACGAATGCCTGAACTGATAAGAAATGGTCTCTTTCCCCCTCTCTTCTCAGAAAATATCTTCACTCAGCAACCAAGTTACTTCAGTGACCTAGATGAAACTCTGCCCACTGTCCTCCAGGTACTGTTTTGCTGTTTGGCCTGAGGCTCAGATTTCATCTAGGTTACGGTGTGGGATAGTTTAGAGGGAGGAAGGGAGCAAATGTGATCAGAGGCAGGCAGAATGTATTTGTCATTGCTTATTTTATCTATTTTATGCTAATATTGGTCAGGTAGTTTTTGAACCTTTATCTACAACTGTTGCTGATGACCGATTCCTGTTACCTTCCTTCTGCTCTGACATTCCCTTTGCAGTTAATCTTGAGGAATTTTTGTTAGGCAGTTCAAATACAAAGTAACTATTCTTCATGGCCCCTCTTGTGCGGGGGAAGCGTTGAAACTTAAAACAACATAATAGAGACTGCGAGAGGTAGCTAAGACTGGACGTAGTAGAATGTGTGAGTTTTGACGCTGCAGGTTCTCAGGAGTAAACGAAATTGGAGGGGATGCATTGTTGCTATACGAATGATATCAGCACCTCTCTATTTCTAAGCTTTCATTTCTATGAGCAGTTCACATCTTCCCCAGACTCGGTAAGCAGGATTCACATTTCACCTGAAGGTAAATCAAAAAGCCTTGACATCTTTGTGCCGTGAAAATGTTGTGTTTGGGTCCCCAAAAGCCTCACCTATACACAGAAATATGCACAAAATATACACCTATACACAAAACCATAATATTTTTTACCCCAAGACACACAAAATGTCTCTTGGCTTTTTGAAAGTTCACGTTCTTCACGAAACTGGTAGAGCTGACTATGAGAGGTGATATCATTATATTAATAATATTCATATATTATTAATGTTCTAGGATGCAAGACTAAACCTTGAAATGAATTACTGGGGGAGGGCAACAAAGATTCTGTTTGTTTGTGATATACCATGTCAGAGCAGTTACTCTGCAGACCTTTGGTTTCTTTACAGTGTATTTTGTTAGCCATTACAGAGAGATACTCGCCTATCTCAAGTGTGTGCATGTAATGTCTCAGAGAAGGCACGTTGTTACTGATCCGTAAAAGTATGTGTTTACCTCATTACTGAAAGGAGTTGATAACTGGTGCAGGTTAGGAGTTTACATGCGCTGTGAAATAGTAAAGTTAACCCCACGTTCTTAATGTCAGCACTTTTAGCTGCCCATCCATGTGGCTGTGAAGTAAAGCTCAGCAAGTCTCTTAAGATGCCAATGTAGAAGAGTTGCTTTTAAGTTGGTCCTACACCAAAGCTGTCTAGCAATCCTGAACCTAATTTTATCAGCCTCCCTCCAGATTTTTCAATTATAGCCAAGAGCTGCTAAATCTGTCATGCTGACCTCAGACGAGAGGGCAGGAAGAGCTTTGGGAGCAGCTTGTAAGCAGTAGCTGACATTAACTTCCCAATTGTCCGGTTACTCCCTTGCAAATAGGGCTAGTCAGATCCTAGGTGACCTCATCAGTGTTGGTAGAGCTCGCTGGCTGATTTTCTCACATAGCTAAGGATTTGGATTAGTCTGTAGTCCTTGTCTCAGCACCGTGCCCCTATATAGCTGCACTTGAATTGCTTGCAAGTCACGTGCTGTTTCAGAAGTGCAGTGTGGCCCTTCCTGCTGTAGCCTGCAGGAAGCCCACGGCTTTCACCGTACACAGCTCTGGGTTGTGTGGGAATAGTTGCACAGCTGAACCAAGTGCTCATAGTATAGAATACTCTTATATTACTATACTACAAGATAAAGCATGTTCCACTGCTTTCCCCTGTCGTAACACTTCTGCTCTATTGATCTAGGTATTCAACAATATCTTGCACAAGTGTGGCTTGCAGTGTGAAGGAGCCTCTGCTGAGCCCCAGAAACTGGAAGAAAGAGTAAATGTGACTCCTGGGAACATGCCTCTCCAGGTAGAACTGTTGCTCAGCGCACTTTACTATTTGTCGTTCTGCAGATTGAGTAGCCTGTGGCGCAGTAAGGCCACGGAGAGTCATTTTGTCCCCAAATATGGATGTCTCAGCACATGGTTGCTTGTTATTGTTTCATTGTTTATCATGTGACTTGATGATAAAGCCTTTCCACCGTGAGTTTGTTGTTTTACTCTTGTGCGTTTCAACCATAGCCATTGCATTGTGGGTTTTTTTCTAACCTCTATAACTTTTTTTTCCCCCCACTCAGTTCATAAGTAATGTAACAGAACATCTTAAGGAAGTCTTAAAATAACCCTGAAAGTGATCAGAGTTGATATTTTCTTCAGAACTGTCTGTTTAACAGCAGTAGACTTTACTTCCAATTAATTAAGAGGTTTTATTGTGCTAGGTGCTGCACAAATGCGTATTGAAGGACCGGCCCCATCTCAGTGGGCATACGGTCTTCTACAAAATCTGAGTCACATGAACTGTACGTGGGAGTTGTTACAGCTACCCTGGAAATGCATCTTACGCTGAAATGGACTACAGAAATCGTTCCTTTAATTCCTGTACTACTGCTATGCAGTGCTTCCAGCCAGATGGGGAGGAATATTTTATGTGGAAGACGTACGGAGGGCAAATGCCACTATCCAAAACAGGATCTGATGAGGGTTCTCTTTATTTAACAGAATCTTCATTGAGTGTGAGCAGTTGGGATTGTATTATAGATCTGTAAAGGACAGATGCGGTCTCAATCTACCTCTGTACCCAATAACACGCAATGTGCCTGTGATTGATAGCAAACTCTCTTCCTGCAGTCAAGGAAAAGGCTTAGCCTGAACATGCTGTGTCCCTGTTAGAGTAGGTTATACTGTGTTACCAGGAAAGCTTGTGTGGCTTTTTATCCTCTCAGTAATTCTCTTTCTCTCTCAGGAGCTGAAGGATATTGTGCTGTACTTATGTGACACTTGCACAACACTCTGGGCGTTTCTTGATGTCTTCCCATTGGCTTGCCAGACCTTCCAAAAACATGACTTTTGCTACAGGTACATCTCAGACTGCAGAGCTCGTCTTAGTGAAGTAGAAATACCAACTATGCTGCTCTGTCCTGTCCCAGTGCCTTCACTGTTGAAAGAATGGGCAGATTTAGTGTAACTAAAAACTGCTAGGTTCACACTGAGGGGAGTATATAGACTCCCAGTAAATCAAATAAACTCTAGGCATCCCTATATTAATGCATCTGTGATATGTTCATTTTCACTGTTATCCTTGAGAGAGCCTAGAGCCAGGCAACCCTGTACAATTTCAAGACCCGGCTAAATAGTACTCAGCATGCTTTGGAAAGCTTGGAGGGACCAGTAGAGAAGAGCTGTGGACAAAAACGACTTCCTGCTGTAGGACCTGAAGCAAAGGCAGCAGAAAGTCTCGGTCCCTGATGGGCCATTGCTCCCAGGAAAACATCTTTTTGATGTTATGCTTAAGTTTTATGTTAGAGAATGTTGCTGAGCTTTGGCAAAAACTGAGTGAGTAGTACCATCTTCCTGGGAGAGGGTGACAAATCAGCACTGTCACAGCTGGGCTGTCAGCTAATTCCCATGTCCAGCTGGATCACAGTGGCAATGAGTCAGGAGCTAGGATGGTCACAAGGACCAGGCAGGCGTGTATTTCCACAGAGGCTGCAAGTCCTTGAGTGGTACTTACCCCGTTTGTTTCAGGTGTTTTAAGCCCTCACCTCATCTTGTACGGTCTTGCCCTAGCAGCCTCCGTTAAGGACCAACTGAAGTGTTAATTTCTTGTCCTTATTTCCCCCATTTTGTTTGCTTGTTGCTGTGAATGAACACATGCTTGTTTTTGGCTTCTGTTTCCAATTGTGTTACAGCCCTCTGAAGTCTTATAAGCTCCGAGTGGTTTATGGACCACAGGTTGAGTAATACTGCTCTAGGGTGTGCAGGTTTCTGTCCTCTTTGGATGTTGTCATCAAGTTGGTTGTTGAAAGAAAGCATATTGGTGGACTGCTGGTGGCTGTTTGGATTGGCAAGCCGCGCTGTTTGCATGCTTGGTTACTCAGAGAAGGAAAGCCTTTGCTTTTAATTCTATTGTTGTCAGAGATGTGCTTAAAAAAAGTTCTGATCTTTGTGCAGTGGGACAGCAGCAACATTTTCATTACTTCTCAACATGGACTAATCACTGGGTCTTTGGAGTGTGGGGAGGGAAAACTGATTTACGTGCCATCTTTTTGGCACCTCTGTGAGTCTGAATCAGTCTGTTGGCACTTGCTAATCACTCCCCCTGACTGAAAGTATGAACCAGCTTCTGCTACATTGCCTCAAGGACCCTCATTTAACATATTTGGCTCTTATGAGACATGCACATAATGTTCCTAATGGAGCCTCTGCACCTCATTTCAGCAGGCTTGACTTTTGGGCAAATCTCTGTAAGCCATTAGTTATAGCTACTCATGAAGCAGGACCTGCTGTTACTGTGTGAGGGGAAGTATCTCCACATCTCCTAGTGCCTTGTCTGTGAACGGAAAGGGTCTGTGTGGGCTGTCTGGTATGTGAAATGTGAAACTAGCCCAAACTGACTTTTTAAAATTTTTCCTGGCCCCGTCCTATTGAAACATCCTCCTAGGCTTTCTGCATGTTGGATACCTCCATCTAAATGCTCACTTAGAACAGAGCCAAATAGCAAGACTTTGTTGGAAATCATATCCTGTTTGAGGATTTTGGGGTGGGAGGGGGTGTCTCATGGTAGACTTGAGCATATCAGCTCTTTGCACACTGCAGGTTTGTGTTTGGGATGTTTCTCAGTTGGGCAGATTATTCTTCTGTTCAGTAGCCTGATGATTTTTAAATACATTTCCTTGGCTACAACTTCAAAGATACCTTGATGGTCTCCTTAGAGTGCTGCTCTTTGCCTATCACAGATTTGCTTGCTTGTGTTTCAGGGGAAAAATAACAAAACATGGTAATACTAATGACTACTGCTAGTGAGGAGAATTTAATGAAATTAACCATATGACTTTTTTAGCAAATGATTTTTGAAACCTCAGTTGACAGTTCCTGTTTTGTTGTCCCTTTTTACAGATTAGCTTCGTTTTATGAATTGGCAATTCCTGAGCTGGAATCTGCAATTAAGAAGAGGCATTATGAGGATAACAGGTGAAAATGTCTGAGAAGGCTTGCCTGTTCTTTTGAATAAGAATCTCCCAGGGCTTAGTTAAAAAAGCGCTTCATGCTGCTTTGTCCACCTCTGCAGTCTAGCTACCTTTTTATGCTGCTTCAAAGCTCTCTGAAGAGACAGCTTTCCTAATTCCAAAGGAACTTTCTTGGGCAGTGGGGTGACTAATGATTTCTTTTAGTGCTCTCTAAGAGGCTTGATGGGAGATGTATCTAAATTGTAACAGAGTGCAAAAAGATCAAGGATATCTCTATGGCTAGCCTGATCTCATTGCATTTTAAAGCACAGACTATGCTGGTACTGATGAGATATCATTTGTCTAGCTGTCAGGTCAACGGGTGGCTGAGAGCAACTTTGTTTAGACCGTGGGTTCTGCTTAACCCGTGGTTATGAAATGGCTCTCATCTTTGGTCCTTGCAGCAAAGAAACAATTCAGCTAATGAAATTCCTCCTCTAGCAGGATTTCTCTGCAGAAAGGTGTGTTCGAGAATCAGATTTCCTATGATGATACTGACAGTGGTTTTGTTTGTTTTCCACTCTGAAGTGGTTTTGCTGATTTGTGGAGGAGAATTTCCCATTCCAGGAAGAAGGTGATGGAAGCTTTTCACATCATTGTAAACCAAATCTGTCTGCAGCCCATCTTAGAAAGCAGGTATTGGCACTTGGGCTCTGTGGTACTAGCCAATTACTTGATTGCCATCAAGGGGAAAATTGTTCCTTGGTTTCCAGATTACCTGGAGGAAATGAACAGTTATTGCTATTTGTGTTGGGGTCGTGTCCAAAGACTTTGCCTGGGATCAGAAGTCTTTTGCCCTGGATAGCAGGGATGAAGCTATGTCTGATCCAGAATTGGTTTGGTGAGCTGTGTGTTGACCTTACCAAAGTGGGATAAGATCATGGTCCAATGAGCATGCTAACCTCAGCTTATAGCCATACTGCAACTTTTAATGCTATTTGTGGAAACCTTGACTGAGATACCTTGGTAAAAACGATACATTATTAAAAAGAGTTGAATCACTGCATCATTGAAAACAGTGTTTTTTAACTGTAGTTACTAGTGCTTTAGCCCGGTTCTTCCCCCCTCCTGTTTTGAAAATTGGTTAGCTAATAAGAAATGCTTCTTATCTATAATCTGTGAGTAATCTCAGAATGAAGGCAAGTGTAATTATCCTTACTTTATAAGTAGAGAAATTAAGACAAGTGATGTGACTCAAAACCACGCTGCATATTGGGGACAGAGCCAAGAACTTGGGTCTTGATTGCGAGACCGGCACTCTATCAGGCTGGGCTATCTTTGCCTGTATTCATTACAGGTTTTGTAGATTGCTGGTCTCTCTGGCTCCTGTTCTGCTTGAATAGTTTTCACGGTTTGATACGAGTAGAGTTGTCCAAGAAGACGAAGAGGCTCTGTTGGTTGAATTCCTTGTGGATTTGCTGGATTGACTTCCTCTGTGACTTTGGTTAAATCACCTAATCTGTCTGTGCTGCAATTCCAATTGTTAAAGTGGTAACAGTAGCCTTGCCATACCTGAGTGTTGCCTTTCTGCACTTACTGGAATAATGAAAGTAGAAATGAAGCAGACTGTAGCATTTTCAGATTCCACAGTATTCAAGACTGCATGTATATATTTCAGAGACAACAAGATCAGATGTAAAGGACAGATCCAGAAACTCATTCCCAGTTTGAAGTGAGCTGAGGTTACTGTGAAAGTGATACTTCCGACTTCGAGAGAAATGCCTTTTTTTAATACTGATCCACTGCAGAGGGTGTTGTGCCCTGCCTCAGCCCTGTGGCTTGATGCAAGCCCCTTGCAAGCAGCAAGGGGAGGTTTAGGTATTATAACAGCAAGATTGCAGTAGGAGTTTGCTTGGCGTATGTTCTTGCATAGGTGAGCACATACCTTCTAGGAGGTTCAGTGGTATAACCCCAAGACACGTAGTACTGTGCAATTGCAAAAGCTCTACACACCCTTTTCTGCTTATTGCAAGTCTGAGACATCGAACTAGGTTTTATAAAGTCTGTCAAAAGTCTTAGAATCCTAATTGTGATAAGGCTTCAGATCTAGCTCACCGAAATGTTTGCTGAAGCCATAAAAGCTTGTTTCCGTTTGACTCTTTGTTCCTTTGAAAGCCAAAAAGTGGCCCGAAATCTATTTTCAGGTGGGATTTCCCTTGATGTATGAGTGTTACTAGTTTGGCTAGTGAGGCAGAATGTGGAGATTCTGCGATGTGGTAGGCTCACCACTGAATTTTTCACTCTGCTGTGCTAATGTTTTTTGCAGCCACGAGAATATTCAGCCTTTTATTGAGGAATTTCTACAGATCTTCACTTCAGTGCTTCAGGAAAGGAGGTGAGTCTGGCTGCATGAGAGCCAAGAGGAGGGTCAGCTTGTCTTCCCCTTTCGTTCTTTACAGCAGAATCGCCCGAGTCGTTATTATGAGGTGTTATGATGCATGTGGGAGTGAGAAATAATTCTAGCTAGTTGTGTGGGAGTGAGAAATAATTCTAGCTATGGGAGTGAGAAATAATTCTAGCTAGTTGGGAAAACTGCTGTGAGAAGATTTCAGATTGTAGCACAGACTTTATTGTAAAGGTGAGGAGGGTGTTGCATGATGCTGGAGAATGTTGTTATTTGCTCTTTTTAATCCAGGCTTGCAAACTGGAAGTTAATGATTTAGCTATTGCAGCTACCTTGACAAGTTAGGCCATTATTACTGATCTCTGCTTGTTAAGTGGGGTGATCAGACCGCAAAGATACCAAGTGCCAACACTGAAGATGCAAAGTGGACAAGTGACAAAACTAGGAATCAGATCTTGGGTTCCTGGCACCGCTGTCCTTCTGATCATATTCATATCATAAACCATATTTTCTCTGTAAGGGGGTGCTAGGTGATGGGTCATAGTATTATAAGGAGTGTTAAACTGGCTGTGATGGGTTAGTGGGGAGTGCTGCAGTGTAACGGGAGTAAAATCAGGCATGGCAATGTGTGCTGGAGTTTGGTATTAGGTGTGAGAGGTTGGGTATGTTCCTACCTGGGCAGTGAGAAGGTGACAGTGGCATAGTAGGGATGGCAGCATGTGACAGCTCTGCAGGTAATTTACTCCTGAGTTTGACTGATTAAGCTTGCTTCTGCATTTTCAGATTTCTCCGTGACTATGATGAGCTGTTTCCTGTTGAAGATGATGTCAGTCTACTTCAGCAAGCATCCTCCACATTGTATCCTTTGCTCTCAACAGGTGTGCACCTCAGGGTTTTGCAAACCTGTCTGCTCTTAGATTCCTTCTCTCCCATGGTATTTCCTGCCTCTGGTTAAGCTGCATGACTGGCAGCAAGTGGTGGAAAGCTGTTCTTTAGAAAAAAAGAAAGAGGTAGTTGTTGGAGGGGGGGGAACACAATGTTAATGTAGGCACAGGCTTGGGAGTCACTGAAAAACACAAAGCTACTTCATGGTGAGGTCTGAGTTTGTGCATCTAGAACGTGAGAAACGTCCTTAATGCTGTCTCCTAGAGATGAGACCAGGACAGCCTATATCCTCCAAGCAGTGGAAAGTGCATGGGAAGGGGAAGACAGGAAAAAAACACAAGTTGTTAAAGACCCAACACCACCAGCAGCATCTAATGCAGCATCAGCAATTGCGGAGAGCAATTCTGAGGACCTGGAAGAGCTTGGGGCTGCGTATGCATCAGAGGATGAGGTGAGTAGAGCTGTATGGATAGGACTGGGTTCCGCTCTCCCTGTCCTCGCTTCATTCATCTATGAGGAGTGGATTGGTTTGCTTGGCTTTTGGGCTGATGTGAGATTTAGTCTCACTTCTTGCCTTTGCTAGGTTTCAGTGCAGACCCATGTGCCCCATGAAACGAGAAACAAACTACATAATAATCCTGGCTTTAACTTTGAGCAGAATGCTTCTAACTCCCTTTTGGCTTGGGTTTCCTATTGCTGTGGTTTGTTCAGATACTGCACTTCATCACTGCAGTCTGTACACGTGATAATTTTTGAGGAAGTATACTATATGTGTATTACTTGAGGAAAGGATTCTCCAGAGTAGCCCAGCTGACTCAGGAGCAGACAAAAGTAGGTGTGCACCCAACTCTGTCGTAAACCTTGGCTCGTATAAACAGTGTAGCTGATTTCTCTTCTTTTGACTTCAGTCCGACTTCTTTGTGTTAAATGCTGATAACCCAGCCTGCTCTCTTCCCTTTCTCATTGTGTGTACCTACCTTCCCTCAATTACTGTCTCTTCCCAGTAATGCTACCAATTCTCTTTGGTGTGTATCTATAGTGTGCTGGTGCAGCTGCTGCGCCCGCTGCCAAGGTGTCAGGAGTGGAGCTGGACTCTCTGATCTCTCAAGTGAAAGACCTGCTACCAGACCTTGGTGAGGGCTTCATCCTGGCCTGCCTGGAAGAGTACAGTTACAATGCAGAGCAAGTGATCAACAACATCCTGGAAGATAAGCTGGTGCCATCGTTGGATAAGCTGGAGCGAACGATGCCAAGGTGTGGGACAGGATTCCTAGCGCTGCTTTAATGCCTTTTCATTTTAGTTTGTGGCTTATCATTTAATATCCTTCTTGTTGAAGGTTAGAAACCTGTAGGGCTCTTTTTAAAAAAAAAAAAAAAAAAGTTGCATGTGCATCTATTGACCTCAAGAAAATGCCGTGAGAGTTTCCCATTGCCATCTATCACTAACCTGCTACCCTCATTCTGTCCCTGCAGAGGATGTGAATGCTCAATGTGCAGTGTTTCAGTACAGCAGAGGCTGTGCCATGTTTTGTAACAGGGAGACAAAAAGTTTTTATTTGAGTGTTTATTGGGCAAATACTTTAAAATTCCCTCATGGGTGGGGGACTGGCTTAGTCTAGGTGGGGCAATAAAATCTTGTTACTGCCAGAAGTTCTTTTGCAGCAGAGAACAGGGTCATAGATGTTAAAATCTCAGCTGCCCTGCAGGAAGGGGCATCTTCAAAGGAACTAATTCAGCTGCAATTCAACCTGCAGGGCAAAATACAGTATTCGAAGGACTGCTGTTTTCCGGTTGAAGTCAAACTGGGGAGCGATTGGAAATGGCAATTCAGATCCATTTTTATCTACCCTTTGACAAAGTTGCCAGGCTTTTACTTATTTCTGTGTTGTATATGGAGTGTAGGAATTGTAGCTGGCAGTGGAATTGAGTTGTTTTAGTTGTCCGCAGCAGCTAGTGTGCATTCGTGGTACAACAGCAGTTTCTGAGTGTCAGAATGTGAATGTGTTGTTTGTTCACATTTCATGGGAGAATGGGCAGACTGTCTCATTGTTGCATTAAAAGAGGAAAGCATCTTTATCAGAAAAGCAATGTTGTAAAAAAGAATCTTGGTTTTGCAACAGTCTTAATGCTCTCAGTCAAATAGGCTGGCTTTGGCACAAATGATGTGGGATGTGCTTTTGGAAGGTGCTTTTTTGTTTCGTTTTTTGGTTGTTTTGTTCCCCTGCTAGTACTGCAGAGCCAGCAGTTACAGCATATAAGGCTGTATTTTTTTCTTGCCTCTTGCATCTTGAAACAAAAGTGTCAGTTCAGTAGCAAATGCAAAATTTTGATTACTGCTGATTTTAGAAGTGAGCACAACAGCATTTTCAGATGCCCAGCTGAGCTAACAGCACCAGCAAAATGAATGCAAAGATAATGGTCCTTTGGCTTATATAAATTGAACAAGTATAACCTGGAACTCTGAGGCAGAATTAAGAAGGAACCATAGGGAGATAAATATCCTGAAATCAACAGCAGCAAATTATTGGATTTTTTTCCAGCATGTAATTCATCATACTTAGTGTTTGGCTTTACTGAGTCACTGTTTTGAGACCAGGCAGTCTGTTGAATAGTCCATGTTCCTGTTTGATTTTACTTTCTTAAATGAACAGCAGAATTTTCTTCTGGCTTTCTGTCCACTGGTTCAGTTTCCTCACAAAAATAAGCCTCAAGGACTGGCTTCTCTCTCAGACCAGTGGCATTTAGTGATTATGCACGTATTATGCTGCAGCTGTGAAATGAAGGGATTGCAATCTGTGACCCGATCAGCCGGCACCACAAAGAGTATCTCAGCATGCTGTGGATGACTGTGAGATTTGACGCAGAATAAACTAAGGTCTTAGGAAGGAGAAGACTTGGTCTCCCTCAACTTCACCTATGTTTTCATTTTCTCTCTCTTTCTCTCTTTAATTACAGACAGCTAAAGCCAGACCCTACTCCTCTAGTGACTTCTCGCTATAATGTTTTCCAGAATGATGAGTTTGATGTTTTCAGTAGGGACTCAGTGGATGTGTCTCGGATACAAAAAGGCAAGCGGTGAGTATCACCCATCCTTGATTTAACCCTGTCTGTCAGGAGGAATAAATATCTGTGAACTTCCCAAATTTACTTCTGTTACAGGCCTCCTGCAGGATTTTGTTGCGATTTTTTTTTAGGGCAGGAGCTAAGGCTTACTAAAAACATTTCCCGCCTGTTTCCTCTTTTTTTTTTTTTTCCTGGGGAAGTAAAATAAAGTACTGTTAGGGGTTTGGTTTCAGTTTAGTATTTTTTTTCTAGTTGGGTTTCCTCTATATGTGGCTGGAGACTGCTCTGCCAACCTCATTTTTAACGGCTGGCTCTTGCTTCTTGGTCTTCATGTTAAATTTATACTGAAAAGCAACTATCTCTGCTGCCCTGAGATCGTGACTCAGAACTGAGATTAATGATTTGTTTTAGATGCAAGTGAAGTATCAATATCTCAAAATCTGGTAACACTCGGTAACTTTGGCTTAGACTCCTTTTATTTTTCCTCTTGCTGTATGCTCGCTGCAGAAGGGCATTTACTTTGCTTTTTGCCTAGCTTGGCATTTTGTTCTGTGCCACACGGTGTGAATTTAGGTTAGGGCATGTGGCATCACCTTGCTGGCTCCCAATAATGTCAACTGTACCTCAATAATATGGTTGATTTGTTTCAGATTCTTTTTTAAACAGTTTTCTCTAATCATCCAAGTATGATCTTTATGCTGATGTATCTTTACATGGAATGTAAATGAAAATCTGGCTGCAGATTGGACTGCGTGACCCTGGTAACTCCCCGTTAAGGTTTCAGTTGCAAAGCTGCAGCAAATTGTCAGAAGGAAATCACTTCTGTCCCAAAGTCCAGTCAACAGCTTTTCAGCAGCAGCTCTGTAGCGTTTATACTGGCTTGGCTGGGCAAGAAAATAGTTTCTTTTCTGGCCAAAATAATGACTTCTGAAGTGTTCATAGCTCAGAATTCACAGGCACAATCTTTCTCCCTCCTCCTCGTATGTTCCCCTGCTTGGACAGGTGCTCAGAGCACCTTGTCTGCTGGCTTCTGGTGCACAGGCATGCTCAGTTATCTCCCAGCTCTCCCAAAGTTTTGTTTGTGTGGGTGGTTGCTGAAGGGGAACTCGAGGCTGGAGACTACTCCTCAGATTCAGCACAGTGCCTCCAGTATATGGACTAATGCAGCTAGGAGGTCCTTTTGCAGATCACCTACAGAGCTTCCTAAGTTGCAAGTCATCCCTGAGCTGGGTCGTGGGACCCTGCTCCTTACCATGTTCCACCTGCTCCCATAGCTTTGCACGTGTGGCTGCCATCAGAGAGGCTGTGTCATCTTCTCCAGTTGTCGCACCACTCCTTGAGAAAGCTGTCATCTTTTCTGCTGTACTGTTGTGTGACCTCTTGGGGTGATCCTCCTATTAATGCTGCTGTTCCTGGTGTAGTTTGGCCTCCCTCAGGCTGTGTCTCCGTTTCAAAACAGTTGTTTTGCAAAGAGTGTGTCCTCCACGTAGGACTCCAAACACCTTAATATTTTTTGGGGGGGATGGTTTTTAAAACTTGAAGGTAACTAGCCAGGATCGGCAATGTATACCCTATGCCCAAGGTTGACCGTATCTAACTATATTAAAGGGTAAGCTATAGCACCGTGTTCTCTCTAGGATTTAACATTCAGAGCTTCGTAAATATGAAATGTGTTTCTCAGCAGTAAAAGTGTAACTTCCTCTGTGGTCCTTGTTTTACAAGCAAGAAACCTAATGCTTTACCAAGCTTCTGGAAACTAGAGTTCTCCTAGCCTGGTTTGAGACCTACATTGGATTCTAATGATAACAGCCTTTCCTTTTTGTTGCCTGTCTTTAAATCTTTTGCTCTCAAAATAGTGCTTATGCTTAAAATGCTGTTCCTGCTAAGCATGATGTTGCAGTAATGCTTAAAGAGCTGGGTCAAGTGGAGTCCCATTGTGCTTGCCGCTGTCCAGATAGGTATAAGCCGCTTGGGGCAGGGACTGTTAATGTGAAGGAGAAAGCCACACCAGGATGAGGAGAAAAACAAGCATGTGGAAATGAATATAATAAAGTACACATGATTCTTTGCCAGTCCTGAAAAGTGATCACTGCTGCCTCTGCCTAATCACTGCCTAATCACTACTGCCTAGCCATAATCACTAGCTAAACCAGACTTTTGAAGTCAGAGCACGTCCTGAACATCGTGGGACTAGAAAAATTATCCCACTGTTTTCCCTGGAATTGGTGCCTAACACAATTCATTGCAGCACCTCTGCAGTCATCAGACCACCTCAACAGGAAACAATTATCAAGTATTTAGTTCAGTCTCGTGCTGAATACCAACAAGAGATGTTATCCGGCCTAGGTACGTGTGAACTAACCCCATGTTTTGTAGGGCGTTTTGCAGCTAAATTCAGACATGTAACAACGAGTCACGGAAGAGAGGGGAAGCAAATGTATCTATTATGTTATCTTGTTTTGAGATTCTTAATAAAAATCAGCCTTAGATTGCTTTTCCAGTGTTCACTGGCATTTCACAAAAGTCTGGCCATCCTTGGTTCACTGAATATGTGCCTTGGACAGGTTCTTTCTCTGCTAATATTCAGATCCCAAACAAATGATTGATGCAAGTTTCTCCTAGACTTTGAGAGCTGCAAGGTGTCCTGGGAATACGTGGAAGTGAAATTCCCCATAGCTTTGCTGTAAGCTCTCTTGGTTGGGGTACGCTCCAGTTTCACAAGTCCTTATCGGCTATTTAGATGCAATATGTACTTGGCTGGTCTGAAAAATGGGACTTCAAAGAGTTTATGCTTGTGCAGCTTGAGACATGGCATCTCAGTGGCTGTTTTTAATACCTCTGTTGAACTTCTATTTCTTGATTTTTTTTTTTTTTTTCCCCTCCCTCCCCTCTATAAAATGGCTGTAGTTTATTTGCCTCCTCAGTGTTTTACAAATTGTGTTTAAGGGTTGTACGTGCAGTGCATTGAGACAGGTTGGATCAGAAGCACGAGCCTACTCTTTATTCTGCTTTTCATTCTTAATCTTGCTTATTCTAATCCTTACTTGCCGCACGAGTAACTCTTTGGCTCTCCCTATCTACAATCATATTTTGCATCTCACGTTTGCAAGCTACGGTTCTTGTCTCTATTGGAACGCACGTGTCCGTGCAGCACCTACTCGAATGCGGCCCTGGTCCCTGATTTGCAGCTGTGTGTGCTACCGCAGTGAGACAGTACTGCAGCATGGTGTTAGAGGGCACTCTGGGCCTTGAAGAGCTGTCTGGTAGATGGGAGTCTTAGCCCTAACAACTTGCCATTCAAGATTCATGGGACTCTTTATGTTACTTGGATCTTGGCCAAACTTCAGCCTCAATATAATTGTGTTTGGCCTCCTGTAAAACCTTCCTTTCTGTCTCAAATGATAGTGGCAGTCTCCAGTTCCTGTTCTTATCTGCTGCATAATCTTGCTGGGCTTCTGTTTAAAAACTGCTGTTCCAAGCCAGAAGTGGCTGTTTTTAGTAGCCAGGCAAATGTTACCTCTCGGAGGGGAAACAGGGAGGCTTAAATAGTGCTTGCGAAGTTTGAGATGAGGCTTCTATTGCTGCAGTTTTCACTTACTAACAGGAAAAAAAAATTATATGGAAGATCTTGACATGGCCTTTCTGTTTCTGCCCCTCCCTTTCCATGCTGTGGTGTGTAGAAGGGAGAAAGACACAACCAGGAGTTTGCTGAATGACAAACGCCTGATTGCTGAGCAGAAGGAGCGTTACAGCCAGTACAGCGTGGTGGTGGAGGAGGTTCCTGTACAGCAAGGAGAAGCTCAGCTCTACAAGGAGGACTATGAGGACGAGTATGATGACACTTACGATGGAAACCAAGTAGGGGCAAATGATGCTGACTCAGATGACGAGCTGATCAGTAGGAGGTAGGTGCTGTGGCTGCCACCTAGAGTTATCTAGTTTGCACAAGCCTGTTTGTTTGACACTGGTTTTCATTCTGCTTCTCAGTGAGGATGTGGGTGCTCCAAACCATCCTTTTTCTTCTGCTACTATTTTCTCTGTAACATGCAAGGAGGGAGATTTGGCTCTCTTTCTCCCCTGTTGATAGGGAGCTTTACCATGGCACGCACACAAGGAGTCCTCAGGCTTCCACTTTCTGTGCCGATGGGACTTAGCTGTTACCTCAATTCAGCATCCAGATCTAAGAGGGGACTTTGTGCTGAAACTGGCACACAGCGGTCCTTCTGCCTATAGGATAATTATCCTCCAGCAGGGGAAAATGGATTGTCTTGAATAATGGGGCTTGAGTGTAGCTGGGCAATGTAAAGTAAAATGACAGATTAGCAAGAAAAACTTAATTTGGAAAAGTGTATGACCAGACTTTTATTCCTTGCCAATCCCATCTCTCATCTCATGCTGACGCCTGGAATTCCGCCTGTGATGGACTGCCCAGCGCTCTCCAGAACAACTGACAGCAGGAGGCACTTAGCATCCAGGAAGCGAAGGGTTAATTAGTGATGGGACTAGCAGAAATATTTATTTTAGAAGTATGACCCAGAGATAGAAAACCATTTCGTAAAAGCTGCTTTAACATTTCTGAAAGTGACCTCCTAAAGTCTGTTATAATTTATAAGAGCATCTTTGGGGTTCCCTTTGTTTCTGCCTATAACAGTGCGGCAGTCGAGTCCTTCCCCCTCTTTCACCTGCCGAGGTGCTCAGTGCTGTCTGCCTTTCTGCCTTCCAGAGAGGCAGTAGGAACAGTTAATGGATGTTACTGCTGAAAATTAGACCTATAGATCTGATGTAAACAGAGACTCTTCTGGTTTTACATTTACTTTTTTATATAGTGGAATGGTGGATCTAAATTCCCAAAAAACAAAACAACCCCCCTCCACACACAAACATGCACGTTAAAGACGACCTCTAGGAATGTTGGTTTGTTTATTTTTTCCTCCAGGACCTTTACACTGCATGTTCAGGGTGAATCATAAAGCTTGATGGATTTCTCTGAGTATTTCCCGCTGGATGAAACTGGGGCAGGGCGATGAAACTGGGGCTCCAGGGATAACCACTGACCAGTCATGGTAGTTTCCGAGTTCAGCACTTTCTGCACATCAGGTTGTTTCTGGCTGAGTTTAAGCTTGAGGTGTGAGGGCTGGTGAGCTAAAGCCTAGCAAAGTGTAAAAAAAAAGGCCAGCGCTCCTTACCAATGTCTTTTGGGTGTGTCTGGCTCCCCTTCTCCTAGAGGAAACAGTTGTTTCCCTGGAGAAATTCCCTATGAGGTTTCTCATTTTTCCTGATCTGCTGCTTTGAGAGAGAGAGACACACATACGCATACATATACATATGTATGTGTATATATTTTTAATTATATTTTGGTAGCAACTTCCTAGTGAACGTTCCGCAGTGAAGAAGAACCTCTATGTGTGTTAATCGCACATTAAAAGCGTCAGTAGCTGCTGGGTCTCTCTCCTTTCAGAAGCAAGCCTATGAAATTTGTGGATTCTAGTCCTTGAAAGATGTGATATAAAATGAAAAGGATATGCTCTTCAGTGAAACACTTGTGGCTGTGCTCTCTTCATCTTTCACTGTTTATGTCTAAATTCTCAGGCCATTCACCACTCCTCAAGTTCTGAGACCAAAAGGACAGGAGGACGGACAAGAGGAGGAGGAGGAAGATGAAGAAGAGGAAGAGGAAGCTGAAAAGGAAAGAGCTAAGGTGACATTTAGTTTGTGGTTGAAGTTGCATTAAGATTTATCATATGTTTTATGTCCTTCACCTGTTAAAGTGTCTGTCAGGGATGATGTGGAGGAAATTTCCTCTACCAAAGCATAAATCATTTAACACGAGCATGGAGACTGAGCTGCTTTTCAGGGTGGCTAGTTACTTCTGCAGTCGGCTGGATTCTGAGATGTCCCAACTACAACTATCCATTGCCTGCTAAGCTAGCCCTATAGGAGCGATGACGCTCCTTGGAGAGGTTTATATCTCTTATTCCATGTACAGAAAGGTTCTGATGTCATGGATATGCTGGAAATATTAACGCTGATGGTGTTGCTGCTGGAGGTAGGATGTGGGAAGAAGTCTCATTGAGATTTTTCTGCCAGGTTTTGTGTTTAGAGTCTCTGACACCACTCCTGCTGGCTCGGCCAGAACAGATAACAGACAATGAACAGGCTCCCCGTTCCGTGGCACAACAGAATCGCCTCTGCTCTAGCCGTTTGAATAATGCTGATGAGTTCACTATAGCGCTGACGTTTTTCCTTCCTTCCTTCCCATAGCAGGACCATTTTGTGCAGGACCCAGCCATATTGAGGGAGAGAGCCGAAGCCAGACGGCTGTCTTATCTTGCAAGGAAGGGGTAAGTGAGGATCTCCCTTTGTTGGATGAAACCTTGGCTCTGCTGTAGCTAGCAAGTGGCTTGCTACTGACTTTAATGGATGAGGATGTACCTGTTCCTTAGCATTCCTGTATGCCAGGGTCACCACCACAGTGATGTTTGACTCCCTTGCCCAACTTTTACTTCACTGCTGATGGTGTCAAATGGATAGGACAGGGTAATTCTCTTTATCGTAAGTAGAGCAGAAACCTATGCAAGATAGGATCTTAGCGAACACAGCTTCCCAGAGCTTGAACAGGTCCCACAAGGATGTAAGGACAGCGTAATAGCTGGCCTTAGCTGGCATGCTCCATGTGCAGAAGGCTGGAGTTATTGTGTGGCTGATGCTGCTATTTCAGCTATTGCAGCAACCCTGCACAGCTCATACATCAGTGAGCTGAGGCTCAGGGCCGGATGGCTGAACTCCTCCCACCCAATCTTTTTTCAGGATCCATGTATTTTGTTCCCCGAGCGTGCAGTGTGCTTGTTCTGATATCCTTTCTCCTGTGTACTCCAGGCACAAGCACGACAGCTCTGCCGTTGTTGGAAATGTGAAGGGACATGGGCAGAACCGGGAAACAGTGCAGGAACGAAGGAAGAAGGAAGCAAACAAAAGCACAAGAGCTAATCATAATCGACGAGTCATGGCAGACAGAAAGCGGAATAAAGGCATGATTCCTTCCTGAAAGACTCTTACCCCAGGTGTTGCATCATCCCCTGTTCTCGGCTTACGGGACAGTTGTGCTGTGTTCCCTTGGCCCTCTCTTAGCTCGGGGGAATGGATGTTGTGGTTCAATGCCTGGCACTTCATCTTGATGTGGAATTGCACGTCCCATGGGAGGGTTGCCTATTCGTGAAAGGGAACTGCCCACCAGGCAGACTGGCTGCTGTTCAGTTTATAGAGAGAAGCATATAGGACAGGCCACACCTCAGATGTGTTCGGCTGCACCAGCCGTACATTTCCTTTTGTACTATTTATAATTCTGAGAACTTTATTTTCATACTGGCTCCTCGTGCCCTCGCTGCAACTAAAAGGGGGCTTCCAGGCCACGCAGCTGACAGCTCTGAGAGCAACCATGTGAGCTGCAGCTAGGCTTCCCTGGAACAGCCCTTACAGCTGTCTGCTCCGCTGAAATGCCTTATCCTGCAGTAAAACTTGAAGGTTGATAGGAAAACACTCGGGCTATTCCAGTTGCTGACAGACACGTGAGAGTTCAGGTAAACAAGAATCTATCATAAACTTCTGTCCCTCAAGTGAGGTGTGTGAAAACAGAACATGCAAATAAATGATTTAAATCTTTTAGTTGGCGTTTTAGGCTCTTACAAACTGTAACTTTAAGCCAGAGGAACCTTAACCAGCCCTTTAACGTGCTGTGTATCTGCAAGCAGTGAAATTCACTTGCTATTTTGCGTTGGTTTAGTGAAATGAGATTTAGCCACAGCCACTGAGACTAAAGATGCCTGAAAATCAGGATCAAGGTGTCCTAAGCAGGATGACAGTAGTACGGAAATCAGGGTTGAAGGCAGCAGGGTCGGAGTCCCTGGGGAGCTGCCTCCTCAATAACTATTTGTCACACTCTGTGAAGCAGAACTGCCCCCATCATCATGTTTGCTGTTAGGAAGGCTGGGAGCTAATAGTAAACAACAGTTTGTAGCTGCTGAAGAGACTTCTCTTGAGGACCATTTTTGTTAAAGTCACTCCCTGCATACTGAGATGCAAATTATTGGGTTTACTTTGTAACCCATTTGTAAGGTGCTCAAAAGCCGTGGCAATGGCTGCTACCCTGTGCCTAGACAAGCTTGGAATACCTGCCAGTAGCAGGTGGCAAAACTGTTCACTTCACTCTTGACAAAGAGTATCAGCATGTTTTTAGAGCGCTGTTCTCATCATGGAGACTAAGGTAAACAGGCTCCGCTTGGCCATCTCCCCTCCCCCAGCGTGTTTTTCTAGTACTGCTGTACAGAGTAGAGCAGACAAGGCTGCACGTGGTTGTCATCCACATGCTGAATAAATTAGCACTAGATTTTGTAGTGTTAGAGCTGTTGTTCTGGGGTTAATCTAGTGCTGTCTTCCCCTTTTTAAATGCTGCAGAAGGAGAGCTTTTGTAATAAGCTCTGTGTGCACGTACCTTGCTGCCTAGTTTTACGCAGAGGGCGGGGACTACATGGCTATATGATTAGTACTGCTGCCAAACACGATTGTGCTGGAGCTGTTTTCAAAAAGTGGGGAAATGGCTGTCACCGTTATGCAAATGAGACGAAGTCCTAAATGCCGTGAGGAGAAGGTTTTTCTTTGCTGGTTTTCAGTACTGTCCAAACCCCCTATGACAAGGCATAGGAAAAAGGGAATTGCGTTTACCACTTCCCAAACTCCACTGTCAAGGGAAATTACTCGCCAAGGTAACTAACTCCCTATTCTTTTATAGCTGCTGTTCTCTGAACTAATGGCTTCCTTTACTCTCTGCCAGCCTGCTACAATGCTGTCTCCTCCTTCCTAATACTGTATTCATCTTTAGTTCTTGCTTCTAAAAAGCTGTAAATCTCTATCACCTGCTCAGCATAGCGTGAAGCTATCAGCACTGCAGGCAGAACTCATAGTGGTAGAGCAGGCAGTCTTATATGGTATGAGATTATCCCAAAGAAGTTTAAACCTTTCTTCCCAAGTGTCTCTATAAAAGCACAGCTGGGACTGTGAAGGCTGCAGTTGTGTTTTGCTCAAAAACAAGCACAATGTTTTAAGTCCTCTTAACGTTCTAAGAGTAAATGTTTTACTCTTCTAAGACCTAGTTACAAACCCAATAAAGCTTCTTTCGTTATCACAGGCTCTGGCATGCCCTGCCTCATCCATTGCTAAAATTCCAGTTAGGTGGTTACTAGCAAGAACTAAGTAAAGCAGCTTCTAGGCTGTACAGCATCATCAAGGTTGGAGTAGAGGGAAACGGTGAGTCACTCTCAGCCATGTCTTAATACAGCCACGCAAGAGCCCAAAGTGATTCTGTTTTAATAGTCTCATTACCCAAGACAGCATCTTAATAGCCTTGCCTGGCAGAGAAAGATGCGTTTGGAATGACCACAAAGAACAGCAGGGACAGACCCTTCAGTGAAGTTGCTGACAAAAGAATTACTCTTTTTTTGTGTGATAGTCAGCTGTGAGTTAGAGCAGGAGCTGCACAGCCAACTAGCTGTAAGGGTGAGTACTCATGACAGACCTAAGTAATTCCTGTCCCTTCTCTGCAACTCTGCTTTGAGCAGAAAGGACCAGCACTGGCATGGAACAGAGCAGGCAAGCCTGGTAAAGCAGTTCAGACCATCAAGCCACTTTTGAGGAGTAAGAAGGCACAGAGATACAGAGAGAGATCTTTTTCCTATATCCCATTTCAAGCTTTGGACAGGTGGAAAATTACATTTCCCCCCCCCCCCCCCCTTTTCAAGTACCACTCAGCCCAACAGACTGAAGGGTGCACACCACCACTTGAGTAAAGTGAATATAACAGTTCAAAGGCTGCTGAGGCAGTCATCTCACTGGTTTAAGAGGGGGCAATATCTGTATTACAGCTTTAAAAGGATGACTGACCACAAACCAGCACAGTCTTGCTGCAAAAAGATGACAGAAAGAGCACTGTAAGTGACTATAAATCACCTTTCTTTAAGTCTTGTTCAAAGAAAGCAGCTCTTAGCCCACAGGTTAAAATTCTTACCAGGCAGAAGCCAAGGGTATTGTCAGCAGCCCTCAGCTGTATGAATGCTTTCAAGTCCTTTACACTGTCCTGAAAATAGTTTGCTTTCCTACAGCGTCCTGAAAATAAGGGTTGGGGCTGCACTTAAACATTCATTCTCTGTCTCCTAGATAACAAAAAACTACATGCAGAGCAAAGGATAAGTCAGATGAACACAAAAGCATGAGACATGGGCTAAGAATTTATTTTTTAACACAACAAGTTTCAAAACAGCAGCAGAAGTCCTTGAGTCCATCTAGTTCCCATAGCAGTAGGTGGCCTATATACTCTGGCTTGGAGTTGTTCAGTCAGGAACCCATTTCCATTTTGGCATAACTAGTTTCAGGAGATATACTGCAGAGAAGGAGTCACTTTGGCCACCCCAGGACGCATCCCGCTGCTGAGCATTTCAGTCTTCGCTTGTCTCATACTTGTGCTTGATGTGCTTCCACAGTTTCTGCACACCAAAACAAACAAACAAAAAACAGCCAGTCATCTTAGCCATCTCTCCAGTGGTCCTGGGATAAAGATAAAGTTTCACTTTAAAAATGCAAGTATTCACAAAACCGATGCCAGCAACAGGAAACAGCAGGAGGGAGAAAAAAAGAAGCTGTATGAAAATGCATCCGTAAGCGTCACTAGTGTAAATGACACCTCGGGTAGTCATCCTGTGCTTTTCTACTGTGACCGAATCTACCCTGTTCTGTAACAGCCAGCAATGATCTGACACAAGGGTATCGAGAGGAGCAATTACACTCTAGTTGACAGCCAGAAACCTGTTCTTTGTTCACAAAGCTGCCTTCCGCAGCAGAGCGGACAGAAGAGCACTCGTTGTCCTCCTGTGGGCCAGCAGGCTTTGTTTGTCCCCTCCAGCTTCCTAGCCTTCTTTGGGGGCTTTTTCCCCCTATTGATAAAAGCCCCCACTGATGCTGCTGTGCCTGAGCTTCCCACCCCGTCTTTATGACCTTGGAGAAGCATGTGGATGGAGTCCTGTATCCTGGGCTGTAGGGTCAGGGCTGCCCTGCAGATGGCCTTCAGGACTTTTATAAAAAACAGGGAGGAAAGCTGCACACATCCTACTTCCCCTGTTCTCACTGCTCTCCTACTCTGACAACCAGAGATTATTAGAGTATTCCGATCCCATTGCTTTAACTTCCCATTCAGACCAGAGAAGGCATTTCAGCTGGAAGAGATTCAGGATGAACAAAAGAATCCTTATTCCAGGCACTGAAACCTGCTGGTACGAGCAGACTCGCAGAAGTGCTGCGTGAGGGCAGGAGCGCTCCATGCTTTACTCCGTGTTGCAGATAAGCCTTTAGATTTTCAAAATTTTCCTCAATAATTTAGATTTCAACCCCAGCTTAAAAAAAAAAATACAATATATAGAAAATTAATGCTACAACTAAAAGAAGTACTTGAGTGCAGAGCTCAAGTTCGGGTGTTATTTTAAGTTGGCTTGTAACAACTGACTTGCTAAAGATGGGGGAGAGAGAGATCCTGGTCTTGCTCTTACAGTATTTTCCCAGCCTTTCACTGCTTCCAGCTGGTGCTCATCCAGCCCCTCGTGAGCTAGTTCAGGGCGGCGAGGCCGTCATTCCGCACAGTTTCTGGCGGGTCTGAGGAGCCGGTTCAGGGGGCCGAAGAACGGACGCATCACGGAAGGGGCACGGCAGCCCCTTTCCGGAGGACCGCCGTTACGGCGGGGCGCGGGCG